GGGGGGGAAGCTTTATACAGAAAGCCAAGTTTTTTTCTCCAAAACTGTCTCATCCAATTAAAAAACATGCTCCTTCCATCTATTAAGAAACAAAACCCTTCCAACTCTATACAGACAGATTAATCCACACAACAGCTTTATTTAAACAGGACTTAGTGGTAAACCAACCAAACATCCCCTTATTTGTGCATCAAACTGGATGATGTAACAGAGAAAGGAATTATCTGACATAAAAGATAAACAAAATCAAAGAACAAACAAATGGCAGATTAATTAGTTACGCACCAGCTTAATAGCAACTTCTTCATTCGTCTGAATATTAGTACCTGTAAAACAAATAAGATCATATCAATCAGCAATCCTTAATCAAAAACAAAAACGAAGATCATCATCACGAAGATACAAACCCAGATAGATCTCTCCAAAAGAGCCGCTACCGATCTTCCGACCAAGTCGAAACTTATTCCCCACACGAGGCTCCATCAAAGCACAATTATTCTCCAACGAAGATTAAAACTTCGGTTGAATCAATGAAAACCCTAGCTCACAAACTCAACAAAAATTGATAAAAAAAAAAAACACAAATAGATTCCGGTCCGATTATCACCTCATCGAAGAAAAGGCTAATCGGACGATCGATATGAATTGTTAGACCCCAGTGACGGACATGAACGATATTAATTGAAAACTACGAACAAGGGGAAGATAGAAAGATAAGGTTGATGAAATTAAACCAAATAATTGGATGAATGATGCCGATTTGGTTGAATTCTTGGAAGATAAAGATATAGTGTATGGAAAAAGGAAGTAATTTGCAGAATTTCAATGGAGGTTTAGGTTGAAAAAAGGGTAAGAGGATTTGGGGGAGAAAGAGAAGGCATCATGATATCACCCGACACCCCACTCCTCGCGCTTTGATTCAATCGAAAGCAGGACCTTTTCTTTAGTTTTTTACCCTCTTTTTCCTTTCCTACCAAATTCTTCCTTCAAGAAAATGTTACATTTTGCACCCCTCATCATTTTGATAAGGACAATGTCAAAAAAGGGTGATTTTCCGGTAAAATACTCTTCATTCGTCTCATACGAAACCTGTCATTTGGAAACTGCATGTGAGGAGACATTTTAAAGCTGTTTCACTAGTTAAGCCAGTCTCTCACATGATTCGAACTTATTGGGGCGGACCTACATGTATATATATGGTGACACGAGCTGCTCCTTCATGGTTTTGGGAAAAAACGTACGTTTCTGAAAGCTGATGTATTGTTTTGTTGGATGCCATTAAGGGTGTAAACGAGTCGAGTAGTGGGTTATTCGAATCGGGCTAAAAAAAATAGCAGGCTTGAGCTCAAGCTCGAGCTCGAATGTTTTTTGAATTATCGAGCTCGATGCTCGTTTATAGACTCAAACTCATGATCGATTAACTCGTTTATAGGCTCGAGATTGATAGTTTTTATATTGTTATTATATGATTTATGAACATATGAGCATGTCTGACTCGAAAAAATGTTTGCTCGAATGGCTTGGATCGAAATTTTCGAACGAACCGAATCGACCATTGGTGCTATGAAACTCGACTCGTTAAGTTAAACGAGTTCTATTTTGTGTTCGAGATCGACTCGAGCTCGAGAATTATTAAGCTCAACCACGAGTTGCTCGTTAAAAGCTCAACTCACTTACACCCTTAGATGTCACTATATAGTTTCTGAAACTGAAATGTCAATAGCTGAGATAGTAACGTTCTTGCATTTGTACAAAAGGCTTAGGGTTGAGTCTCGTAATTGACCAATTTGTTGCTTTTTTGTATTTTTATGTACCTCTTGTATTTTTAAAATATATGTAAACATGGTTCTTTTTATGTAAGGACAAAAAATCAACTAACAGATTTATACTAATATTGTGAAACAAAAAAAAAGTTAAATATTTTCTTACAGTCAAATTGTGCCACTACTTGAAAAAATTCTTGGATTTATCTCTGGTTGTATATTCAAACTCAGCTACAATTTCGAGGGGAAAAAAGTTAATTATTGGTTATTTTAAGCCTACTTTTGTCCAACCAACTACTAGTTTTGTTGGTAGTTGAAAATTCAATTATTGATCATTAAACTAGCATTTAACCAATAAGTTAATGGCTCGTTTACCGAATGACAAGTGTTTACCCATAATTATCTACCACCCTCATGGTAACATTTTTAGGGGTTGTTACCATGATAATGGCCTAGTCAGACTTTTTCAGGCCGAGCCCACGCTTGCTGCCAATATCTTGGCCTGGATCGAGCTCTGGGCTCGCTAGGTCCCAAACATCAGGCCGAGCCGAAGCTGATCCAATCGGTCCTTTTTGCTGTCGGTCAAGCCAAACACGCTACATCAAATAATCGAAAAACGGTCGGGGACGAAACACCGATAGTCGTAAAAGTCAACGCAGATAGATATTGACCATTTTTCACTGGTTGTGTAAAATTTCTACATACAAATGCCACTATACTTAAAATATGAATAAAGAAACCAGTAAACAAAGAACCCGAGGAAACAATGAACAAAGAACCCCCCCCCCCCCTCTCCTACACATAATTATAAACATTATCAAGAAAATGAAGCAGAAAAATAAAAATAAAATAAAATAAAAAACCGAAAAAAATCACGTCCGTGTTGCGGCCAACGCAACGCGTGGACTCAACACAGACGATTTCTTCTGCAACATCTGTCTCAAATGTCGGATCTTCGCATCAACTCTCGCTGAGAACCCGATCTTCGTTTCTTGTCGGGCTTTCGATCTTTCTCGAGTCCACATATGTCGATCCTCAACGTCTTTCTTATAATACTTGATTTCTTGGATCACGTGATGATCCATCGGGTTGAACGATCTTTGGAAAGAAATGTGAGCCAAATACGGAAGATTACAGGCCACTGTTACCAACAGGGTGCTCAGCCAGAATATCGGTGCCGGAGCCAATGCTTCCACAAAGATTTTGTACGCATTTCCGGCGAGTTCTGGTGAGAGCATTCCATATAGAATCAAGAACACGTACCATGCGATGATGCTGAAACCGATGAGAAAATGTTGGATCCATGTGAAATGGCTCATCGTGAGTGCGATCTGGCAGTTGACGGCATAGATCACGCACGTAAACATGGCGGTTCCCACCACGGTCATGTCAGCAGTCTGCCCGCCTACCCGGAAAGCTTGGTCGTAAAAAATAATGATGTTGAGAAAGAATACAATCAGGGAACAATAGAGACCGTTTCCCATCCACCCAAAGATTCGGTACCAGTCGAAAAATAGGTTTCTTGGTCCTTGCTGATACAATGCCGGAAACTGCAATAGGTTTAATAAAATTCATTTTGGTCATATTTTGAATCATCTTAAAAAGAAAATAAAACCGAACGGACCGAGTAAATCCCACTCAAAAGTAGGGTGGGATGAGATGTAGGCAGGCGTGGCCTCTGCTCCAAAGAGTAGAACAATTATTTCCATGAAGACCCCAGATTGGGTGTAACACGAGGACTTCACAAAAGGCCACCCATCCTAGTACTACTTCCGCTAGCAGAGTTCAGAGATGGGATCTGGTGCATTGGTGTTGGTACGACCATTAAAAAAAGAACGTGAACGGACCATTTCAGAAGGAGGAGTAGGGTGAGATGTAGGCGACCTGACCTCCATCCCAAAAGTAGAGCGGTTGTTTCCATGAAGACCTCCAAATTGTGCTAAAGAGTGCAACACGAAGACTTCCCAAGAGGTCACTCATCCTAGTACTACTTTAGCTAGCAAAGATCTCATGGGATCGTGCATTAATGCTAGAATGACCATTTCAAAAAGAAAGCGAACGGACTATTTTAAGAAAGTGGGGTGAGATGTAGGCAGACCTAACCTCTACCGCAAAAAGTAAAACAACTATTTTCACAAAGACCCCTATTTTGTGATAAATGGGTGCAACAGGAGGACTTCCTAAGAGGTCAACCAACCTAGTACTACTTTTGCCGGCAGGGTTCTAATGGACCTGGTGCATTAGTGCTGATATGACCGTTTCAAAAAGAAAGTGAACGGGGCATAAGAAAGTTAACCTGTAAGCAGATTTCGGAAGAAACATCTTGTTCGAAGACACCGAGTGCAATCACGGGAAGTGATGTAAGTACAACGTTGAATAGTAACATATACCAATCGTCATACACTGATTGCCCAGAAAAACCGGTGAATGCCTCGAAGTAGAAAAGCGTAAGACCGAATGCGATGTTTTTGTAGAAGAAATAGCAAATCTGTGTTGCAAAGAATCATTGGTCAATTCAAATAAATTAAAACCAAACTGACCCAATATATCCCACTCGAAAGTAAAATATAGGGGTCAAATGTATGTAGACTTGTCCTCTACCCCAAAAAGTAGAACAATTGTTTCCATGAATACAAATAAACTAAAAAGTTACGATGAACGAGCAATCACATTTTTCCGCCAATTCCTCATTTTTGTACCTTGTGGCCATGTCTATTATTGTTAAGGTGCGTTTGGTACGCGGACGAGAGAGAGTGAGGTAGGCAGGTGAAAGAACTGTGGACGGTTTTAGGGTTTTAATTTGACATGGATAGTTCAGTAATTTACCAATCTTATCCCATGATTCCCATCACCCTATTTTTGTTCCACCTGTTTTGGTAGGACCAAACAAATACACTTTTGTCCCACTTGGTTCCTATTCGGTCACAGTCTAATGTCACATCAAATGTGGACAACAGGTTTTTGTATCGCCTTGTCTCGTTTGTCCCATCAAATATGGGACACAGGTTTTTATATTGTCATGTCTTGTCTCATCCTGCATACCGAACGCACCCTAACATTATATGATACCCACAACCACCTCTTTATTTCTCATCCATATTTTTCATTTTGCGGGTCCTATTATAAATAAAAGTTGCATGTAGGTCGTTACCATTTGAGCAATTCTCTTATAGCACCAGTGACCGTGTACGACCAAAAGCCTCTCCAAAAACCGAAACTGTGCAATAGAGAAGTCACTAGCCATCACGGCCTGCAAATAAGATTCAAGAAGTCCGTAAGCCATTAAAACGTTTCTAAAACCGCGGTTCTGATAGATCATTTTAGTCTTGAAACCGATTTCACACTCCGGAAAGACGACAAAATAAAAAAATACGACAAAAACAAGCTTTTTGGTACAAAACGAACCTGCATTCCTTCAACACCACTTATTCCAACTCCGATATCCGCTTCTTGAATCATCCCCACATCATTTGCACCATCTCCGATTGCTAAAGTCGTTTTCCCGGTGCCTTCTTTCACCAATCGCGTAACCTGATCCCAAACATGAAGAAAGTATATAAAAAAATTATGGTGGAAGGCTTTTTCCCAAATAACGCCAAACCAAACGAACTGGTATATCCCACCTGGACGTGAGGTGGGGTCCATGGAGGGTAAGATATATGCAGACATGACATCTATCACAAAGAGTAGAGCGGTTGTTTCCATGAAAACCCCCCGCTTGTGCAAAGTAGAGATGCACAAGGCCCCGGAGTTTTTGGGCCCAGGTTCGTACCTTCTACAGCCGTTTTTCAGTGAGTAAAAAGAGGCTCGGGATTTTTAGGCACAAGTTGGGCCGGGACAAGCTTTGGGTTTTAAAGAGGTCCAGATTGAGCTTTTTCAGGCTAGGCGTTTTCAGACGGGATCACAAGACCTGGGCTTTTCCAGGCCGAACTTCGGGCTTGGGCTTTTTTTGTGAAATCTTGTACCCTAATGCCAAATATGAAGAAAATATATAAAAAAATTATGGTCGAAAGTTTTTCCCAAATGCCATCAAAACAAACAAACCCGGTATATATCCCACTTGGACGTAAGGTGGGGTCCCGCAAACCTGACATCTACCACAAAGAGTAGAGCAGTTGTTTAAAAGAAAACCCGCGGCTTGTGCCAAGTAGAGATGCACAAGGCCCGGGAGTTTTCAGGCCTGGGCCTTCCAAGCCCGTTTTTCAGTGAGTAAAAAGAGGCTAGAAATTTTTTAAGCACAGACCAGGCCAGGCGTTGGAGTTTAAAAAGGATCCGATCGGGCTTTTTCTAGGTTAGACTTTTTCGGACCGGGCTTCGGGCTCACTAGACCTGGGCTTTTCAGGCTGGGCTTCGTGCTTGTGCTTTTTTGTGCATCTCTAATGCAAAGTGTGGCAAAGCTAGAAAGACAAACATGATAAAAATTTGAAAAGCTGGTTAAGAGTAAACGATCTTACCATCGCCTTTTGCTTAGGAGATACACGACAACATATAACGGAAGCACAATCAACGGCTAAACTCAAGAACTGATGCTTCAAATCGTCCTCCAAAGCATAACTTAGCATCTTCCCATCGATAATCAATGCAAATGCAGCGTGAGGATCCTTTTCAAGCTTTATCATTTGAGAAGCGTTCGTGATTTGCATCACGATGTTCTCCTTTACAGCCTGTTCATCAACACGTGAAATTAAGAACCCGCTTTACGTAAAGTTGCAACTTTTTTACTAGACGTAGTTTTAGTAAAATGTGTCTGTGATATTGTCAAATATCTAAAATACCCTTCAATGAGGAGAGCATAAAAGGAATCTTGTGGACTCAAATAAGTGTCATAATAAGAAGCAAAATGGTAATTTGACGTAAAATCTTCCTTAACAAGAAAACGTTATTGTTTTCATGGTGATCCTAAAATATTCATGGAATAGGAGTAATATCGTATACCTCCGTCCTAAAATAAGTGTCCACAACAAAAAAACACCCCATTTAGTGGAATGACAATTTTACCCCTAACGATAAAGACGGACCTTTTCTCTCTTTCCGTCTCACCAACTCTTAAATATTTAGGATATCCAGGTTAATAAAAATAAAAAATAAAGAAAAGAACTTTTAAATATTTGTGCATCATAACCAACTTAGGAGTTGAAAATTTAATAAATTACAACAACGCCAACAGATTCTCCAAAATGGGGAAAACAGAGATTTTCGAGTTTCTATCTATTTTTTTGCTCCAATAGATCCTCCAAAACTTTCGTGAAAATGGAGAACGTAGGAGAGAGTGAACACTTATTTTGAGACAAACTAAAATAGAAAAACCATTACATTAATTCCAACAGTTTCTCTATTTTGGAGATTTCAACATTAATATATTATTAAAATATTCTAAAAAGTAAACTTTTAAAAAAATTTATATATATAAAATAATAATAATTTAACCTCATTGGTGGAAACAATTTCTCTCTAAATCATTTAATTTAGGGAGTTCTTCAAATTTGGAGATTATTATACTCTCTCCTATTTTCTCCACTTTAGAGAAATTTTAAGAATCTGTTGGAGGCTTGGAGCAAAAAAGTAGCCTAAAATTCCATTCATTTAAGAGAGTCTATTGGATTGTCGACACTTATTTTGAGACGAATGGAGCATAATAAGTACCTTCTTGGAATCTTGATTTAACATATCCACAGTTGTCGTTATGCATATCTGCTTCATGCCCTGCCGAAGCAAACTGCACGAAAACCTGCACCATGCAACAAAAGTAAATATTTATTTCCCACAATCCAAGCTTTTGGGTCCACCCAAACCAAATCAAACCAAACGAGCCCGTATATCCCACCCGGAGGTGGGTTCCATCCGCCGGGGGTGGGAGGGTGGAGGGAGATGTACGCAGACCCGACCGCTGCCCTAAAAAGTGGAGCAATTGTTTCCATGAATACCCCCGGCTAGTCAAAGAGAAATACAGATTTGCTAGAATTTGAAAAAACGAGATATAAGTTGGGGTCCATCCCTTTTCTCCAAATGGTGAGAGACATACCCTATGTTGATTGCAGTTTCCATCTTATCACCCGTTAGAACCCATAGCTTAAGACCAGCTTGCGCCAATTTATCGATACATTGAGGCACCTATACAAGAAAGGGGAAAAAAGGAAAAAAAGTAAAAAACTAATGAAACAATACAAAATGCCATAATAATAATAAAGTAACTTTTGAGGGTTAGCTCAACTGGCAAATAAAGACTAGGCCTTGAGCTCCTCCCCATAGGTCGCCAGTTCAAGTCTCCTCAGGCACACTGGGAATTTTCCTGGCTGTTATCTTCAAAGACCCATGGGATTAGTTGAGGTGAGCGCCAGCTGGACCAAATACCCACATTTACCCAAAAAAAAGTAACTTTTGAGTTATAAGTAGATACCCCTTGTTGCAGCTTATCCTCCACGGCGGTAGCACCAATGAGAATAAGATCTCTCTCCATCATATCGGAAACCCGTTCAAGCATTGCCTCCCTATCACCGGTGATGGCCGTTTTGGCTTTTACAAACTCGTCATTCCATGCAGAATACTCGGATTCTTCAAGTTTCCGGTAAGCAAGTGCTAGCGTACGTAATCCAGCTTCCCCATAGTCGTTTAGATGCTTTGTGGTCGCCTCCTCATACACTCTTCCATTTTTTGCTAAACGATCAAAGATGATGCTGCGAAATCAAGCAAATAGCTCACATATAGACAGCAAAGAAGTTGTATGTATGCATGTATGTATATGTGTGTAGGGTCAGGTTCAGGGGAAAACAGCAAAAAAATAAAAAACTCAGAAACACTCTAGTAACTGTTCATTTTACGGTATGCACATGTGCATACAAGTAATTTTTCCAGTATGCACACGAGTATAACGTGCACACGTGCGTAAAACTAGAAAACATCTTCAATTACTTGTATGCACACATGAATGGTTATTAGGGTGATCCTCAAGTTTTCATTTTTTTGGGGCTTTTTCTCTGAACCTCCCTTCTATGTGTGTATGTATGCATGTATGTACATGTGTGTAGGGTCAAGTTCAAGGGAAAAACCGAAAAAAATGAAAAATTGAGAAACACTCTAGTAACCAATTAACCATTCATCTATAAGGTATGCACTTGTGCATACAAGAAAATTACTTGTATGCACATGTGCATACCGTACAATGAACGGTTATTAGGGTGCTACTCAGTTTTTTCATTTTTGGGGGGTTTTCCCCTGAACCTTCCTCTATGTGTGTCTGTGTATTCATGTATGCATGTATATGCGTGTATGTTCAGAATTATTAAGGTAAACAAACCGACCTGTCGGCACCTTTGCAAAGTAAAAGAATTTGTCCGGTCTCATCCTGAACAATAACCGACATTCGTTTTCTTTTGCTTGTGAAATCCAAAAGATTGAGAATTTTGAACTCCCTGTAACGAAGAATGTGTTCAAGTCATATATTGCAATCCGAAAAGATTGAGAAATTTGAACTCCCCATTAATAAAGATTCCAAGAAGATACTTACTACACTCTCCGTCCCAAAATAAGTGCCTACTTTCCACTTCTACCCTTAAGGGTAAAATCGTCATTAGTTGCTAAAAAATTGTAATTATTACACATTCCTTCAAATGTGTGCCTTTTTCATTGTGGACATTTATTTTGGGACGGACGGGGTCGTTAATCAAAATCCTATCAAAACCTTTCAATAGGTTCTTCATAAGAATAATGCTGCTCACGAACTAATATACTCGATTGAGTTCTTTTGCAAAATTCAAAGCCGAACTCCCTTGCGGCAACAAGGAATGCTCCTTCATCTGGCGATTCCGCTTCATAACTATAAGTGCCCGTCTCCTCATTTAGCTCGGGAATTGCCGTATGACAAAGAGCAAGTACCCGGAAAAACAACAAGTGAACATCGGCATTGGGTTCTCGTGACCAATTTCCGTTCATTAATCGATGATCCTCAAAGCTAAATCCCTTAATACGTGTCGGAGAACTTTCGCCTTTAGGAGTAGGAACGGTCTCTAACTCAATTTCAGATCCATTTTGTCCGCCGGTTCTTGAAAAATCATGGCCGTGCCCTTCAAGATCCTCCGCCATCTGGCTGGCGGCAGCAAGTTCTACTTCACTAGAACGCATTCCATATGGGATGCCGGCGATCGAGCACTTGAGAAAATCCATCTGGTTACATGTCAACGTGCCGGTTTTATCCGAAAGAATCGTGTCCACCATCCCCAACTCCTCATTTAAATTCGACGTCCGGGCTTGAGCAGGAGTACCGGTTTCTTCATCGTACATGTGTATATCTCGGTTTATAAACAATGCTTGCAGGACCTTCACGAGCTCAATGGAAACATAAAGCGAAATGGGTATCAAATACCCGTAAAGAATAAGAGCGGTAATCAGATGAATACAACCCGACAAGAAAGGCCGAGTCGGATTATAAATTTTTTTTGCATCTTGAGGCATGTACCACCAATTCGGCATCTGGTAACCAGTCTTGATAGCAAACCCGATTGAGCTGATCAATGAGATCAACACAAGAAGGGTAAAAAGCACGTAAATGATCTTGTCCATCTGTTTCTCAATCGTGCTCCTTTTCGAAGGGGATTTGGTGGCATTTTGCATAACTTTGCTATCATGGCCCGAAAATATCACCACCCCGTAAACATGACCCGTGTTACGAAGCTTCGAATCCCGTAAAAGAATCTGACTCGGATCGAGAGGAAAAATTTGACGGTCATATTCAAGATTACCCACAAACGCGTAAAGATTAGGATTCGGATCCTCACATTTAATCGTTCCTTTGAAATCCTTAAAAGCAGCATCGTCATCTAATGTTAAAGTCGCCTCTAACGATCTTTTAACCTTTAAATTCGTTTCTCCATCTAAATTCATAGTCTCGACGTAACAAATCCCATCTTCATAACTAGATGATAATAACAGTAAATCCGCCGGAAAGAACTGATCTTTCTCGACCTTCAACACGTCTCCAACCCGAATATTCATCCACGGCTTTAAAGAAAACACACCATCTCCACTATGAACGCTTACTTTCCGCATATTTACCTTCATATCTTGCATAAATCGATGCCAGTTTTCCACCGCTTCTTTTGCCATACTAAGCCCGATAACAAACGCTAGAGGCGCAATCATGCTGTAAGCCGAGAAAGGCGAAACGGGCGTTAGCGATAGGGCTGCCGCCAGGAGGAAGTACACATTAGCAACTCGACGGAATTGCTCAAAAAGGGCTTTAGGTAAGAATGTGATCACATTATACTTTGTGGTCGAGATATAATTGGAGACATATTTAAGAGGTTTCTTCTGGTGAAACTGAGGTTGGTTACAGCAAACTTGCCGAGAATATCCGGGCCCACGAAATTGATGAGGCTCGTCGGTTGATTCACGTGGCGGCCGTATGCATCCAAATGTGTAAAGACTACTTCTTCTAATCTTTGCCCGTATCCTCCCATGAGCCATTTTTTATCGAGTTTTTCACAAGAATCTTTAAAAGCACATCCCTCAAAGAACCCTCGGTGTCTTAGATTTCAAAACACAAGTTTAATTCAAAGGATGGCCTTGTTTGCGTGTTAAAACTAGAAGAACACCGAGCTCGACACACAAAAGAGCACACAAATCCTGCGGTAATTGAATTTAAAAGCCCGATAAGTGCGCAATCATGTTTCTTGTTTAAATCAAAGCAACTCGTATATGCAAGAAGGGATTAGATAACAGATAACTTGTTTGAAATTCTACACTGCTAATTTAAGAAAAAACACACTAATTCAGTAGTAATTCATAACTAGGAACACATGAATTTGGGAAAAGGAGACAAATCCTATACTGGTTGAATTCAAAATCAAAGTAACTCAAAAGGGTTTTCAATTTATAGATGCAAGAAGGGATCATATGCATACATACATATAGGATCAGGTTCAGGGGAAAACCGCAAAAAAGTGAGAAACTAAAGAACACCTTAGTAGCCATTCATTTGTACGGTATGCACATATGCATACAAGTATTTTGCGCAGTATGCATCTGTGCATAGAAACCAAAAAACATCTTCAATTACTTGTAAGCACATGTGCATTCCGTACTCATGAATGGATATTCGGGTGTTCCTCGGAATTTCATTTTTTGGGGGGGTTTTCCCCTAAACCTTAATGTGTGTGTGTGAAGCACTATATAATAAATAACTTGTTCAAGTAACACACTTCTAATTCGATAAAAACACACCAATTCAATAGTAATTCCTAACTAGGAACACATGAAGTTCAGAAAAGGGAACAAATCCTGCATTGAGTGAATTTAAAAGGCCCAATTAGACATGTTTCTTAGGAAAATCAAAGGAACTCATAAGGGTTTTTGATTTATATATGCATGAAGGGATCACATATATACATACATACATACACACACACACACATACACATATATGAAGCAGTATACAGTCAATAACTTGTTCGAGTTAACACACTTCTAATCCGATACAAACACCCCACTTCAGTAGTAATTCATAACTAGGAACACATGAATTTGGGGGGAAAAGGAGAGAAATCCTACATTTATCAAATTTAAAAGACCCAATTATGACTAATTCAACAAAAACACACAATTTCAGTAAGAATTCATAATTAGGATCACATAAATTTGGGGAAAACAAGGATCGGTTTCAAAAGCAGCTGAATCAATACTGATGAATAATGTAACTAGAACCCAATTTCATACTCGTAGATCATACTCGCTAACATATACCTTCACAACCCATTAAAAAACCCGAAAAACCTCAATTGAAGAAAAAGTTAAATTACAAAAAAAAAACAAATTCAGCTACACAAAAGTAAGAATCAAGAACAGAATATACATTATCCATGTAATAATTTAAAACCCTTTCGCAAAATTCAGGTACCCATTTGATATAACACGAATTACAGAAACCCCAAATCGTTGATAACAAGAACAAAGGGTTAGAAATTCAAAAAATTACCTTATAATCACGAGATTTCTTGAAGAAAATGGTAATGGAAGCAGACCCAGATGGTAAATCGATGAGATCAAAGAATGTCAGCTAGTTATATGAGTGAGATCTTAACGATGAAGATGAACAAAGGGTTCAGACGAAAGGAAAAACAAACCCCTTTTGTGTGTAAATCAATCACAACCTCTTTAGACAGTATATTACGGGCGGCCCTTTTCTCTACTCTCTCTCTCTCTCTCTCTCTCTCTCTCTCTCTTTCTTTCTCTCTTCCTACATTCTAGTTTTCTAGAAATCAATTAAACAAATGGGTCTTGTGAATTAACGCCAAATGGACCAAAAACTTGAAATCTTTTTTGTTCTTCGAGATGATTTAATTGATTATCATATAATCTTTTGAGGGAGTTATAATTTGAGTCCCTCTAGTTTACACTAATCTATGAAAGTGGTTTCACTACTTTAACAACTATAATTATTATCCTTGTTTATATCTTGCTTTAAAATGAGTTCTTGATAACTCTGTTGAATTGGTGAAGTGATGGATATTTGTGTTTTTTAACCTTTTTTATCTTATTTATGGGGTGTTTGAGATTGCTTATAAAAACAACTTATTGATTTATTTCGATGTGGCACCGGTAATAAGCACTTTTGAGTGTTTTGATAAATAATTTATACCGGTGTCAAACCGGTAATAAGAAGTTTTTTGAGAAGTTAAATCATTCTAACGTATAATAAGTTGATAAATACTTTTGTAGAAAATCATAACTTGTTTCAAATAAGCAATTTCAAACACCCCCTTAAAGAACCCAAATTGTAGTTTATCTTTCTACTTTTGTTTTTTTTTCTATTTATATATAACCACACACATAAACACAATATATATGTATATATATATATAAGCACACATATACACAATATTTATACTTATACTTATAGTTATATTCAGACAAAAGTTCTTAAATTCACATTTGGTTATATTCTTATACAATTCATACGTCCACAGAACGTTTGGTTGAGGGCCTACATCGACTAGGCCTCCCGCTGACTGAGGGAAGCGATCTATCTTCCATAATGATTGAAGATACCTCTGACATTACTTGAGAATAAAAATTCTTGTTATGCCTCAAAAATGGAGTTCGTTTAGAGTCATTAACGAAAATAATCAAGAATTTAGATTTTCCGATGAGGTAGCCTGCTGTGACTTTGGATTACTCCAAACTGTCACCGCATTTGTACATAATATCTCAACAATTAAGTTCTTTTATTAAATGGGGTGAAAATTGAAGTAATATGCCTTTACTATAGCTTTCTTAAAGCTTTTGGCTTATTGATTATATATAAATATATTGTGCGTTTGTGTGTGGTTATATATAAATAGGGAAAAGAACAAAAGTAAAAGAGTTAAACTACGATTTTGATATTTTCAAAGTAAAATGTAAACAGTAGGAACTATCGTAGTTATTAAAGTTTAGGGACTACTTTTAAAAATATGTGGAAACCACATGGACCAAAATTGTAGTTTTTGTGGGAAATAATGGGTCAAAGTAAGGTTTCCCCCACACCCAAGTAAGGTGGGTTTAAGAGGTCAACGTGGCAGTTTTCAAGTACATTTCCATGTGGGTGTTGTTGGAATTTAATTACAACAACATTTATGTCATCAAGAAAATAAAAAATAAAAAATAAAAAATAAAAAAAATATTACAATTCCTTTTTTTTAAACTATATATTTTAATTACATAAACATTTCAAAAAAATTGGACATAAATTAACCAATTGAATTAATTAAAAAAAAAGATTTTGTAGTGTACGGAATCAATTGGGTTGTAACGTACCGGTTAATGTTCAAGGGAATGTAGTAGAAATCGTATATTTGTTGGGTTTGAATCTAGGTGTTGTCATATCCTTTGTGGCTAGAAGGTTCATCAGTGATAATTCCACACTTAGGGGTTGTTTGGTTGGTTTTCGATTAAGTCATGCATAAATAAAGTTGTTTGTTTAGATTAATCTGTATATATAGATTGAAAAAGGTTTTTGTTTAGCAGGGTTTTTCTCAAATGAAATGAACATGTTTTGTAATTGGAAAGACATGTTTGAAAGAAAAGAAAAAAAAAACTTAACTTTCTGCATAAAGCTCCGTCTTGAAAGCTTACTGAATAAATTATTTTCAATATCATTAAGCCACTACCAAAACAAGTCATTTATAGCTAACCAGATAAGATGTGAGCCAATTAAGCTGCTAACAAACAAGGTCTTAATAAATAAAAATCAAATTAAAATACAAGAATTTACCCAATTAAAAATTCCAAACCTCATATAAATATTCTACTTATCTTCATGTTTATCCATACTAAACATATCAACAACCTTTAGGGTGCGTTTGGTGCGCAGACAGGACTGGACAGGACAGGACGGGACAGGACAGGACGGGACAGGACGGGACAGTTGTTCAGCGTTTGGTAAGACAGGACAGGACAAGACAGAGCTGGTTAAAATGACCAATTTACCCCCGTGAGCTGTTTAGTGTTTTTTCACTACGAAATCAAGTAAACTCCCATAATCAATTCAGCAATCATAATCAATATAAACCAATTCATCAACAACAACATTCAGCAATAGCTACCAACTAAATCGAT